TCCACGCAAAGGGTTGCATTCCCGATGGATGGCATCGGTGCTGGTTCCGGCTTTAAAAAGAAAGATAGATATACCAAGATGTAGATAAGTCGGTTTAGACGTAGATAATTCGGGTACTCGACTCGATGTAATTGACTCGATGTAATTGTCTCTGTGCACTATGCACTTGACTCGATGCACTTCACTCGATGTACTTTACTCTGATGTACTTCACTCTGTGTACAGTGTACTCTGCACTTGACTCGATGCACTTCACTCGATGTACTTTACTCTGATGTACTTCACCCTGTGTACTATGCACTTGACTCGATGCGCTTCATTCGATGTACTTCACCCTGATGTACTTCACTCTGTGTACTATGCACTTGACTCGATGTACTTCACTCTGTGTACTTGATCCTATGTACTTCTCTAAAGGGCTTGCACGGAAGAACCCTTCGCGATGCTTTCGGGAAAAAGGTATCCATGGCCTTCGCGAACCTCATCTGCTGGCTGCCGCAGGTTTGCTGCTTCGTGTACGCTTGTTGCGTTGCTTTTGTGAGCTTTCGGCAGGCGGTCCGCGGTAACTGTGTCAAAACGGCTGGAAAGCTTGATCAGGTCGGCATAGCGGCAATTCAACGGCACATTGTACGCTCAGCATTGCCAAGCCAACACCCCTCTCATGTCAGTTTGCCTTTTTACCGAAAATTTGACCGAAGATTTATTGCGCGGTGTTCGGGACGAGAGTTTGTCAATCTGGCTCCGGGGGGGTGCCTGTGCGCATTCAACGACGGTTACCGGCTTGTTTTCTTGATAGAGCTGCTCGTCTGAGGTAGGCTTTACGCACTCGTTGGCGACCGTGGAGCTGTGATCTGAACAGGCAAACACCCTTTCATGCCACTTGCCATGTGGTCATATGGAGCTGAAGTTGGAGTCATTTGAGTCGATGTGAATTTATTCATACGTTGTATCCTATCTTTCAGTGTTGAAGCCCCCTCGAGGACCGAATGCTGAACTTGTTGGACCGTTTTCCGGTTTTGCTGCAGCCACAAAACCGTCTTTCAGAATTTCCCACAGTACCGTTTCCAACAGTCCCGGAGGTGTACTGGTGTGGTTGTTGGCTAGCTGGCTGTTTCACAGCATATTCGAAATAGTCCACCCGAGCAGAACGACATGGAAACGACGGCTTGACTAGAGAGTCTGGGAGGAAGAGATTCTTGAGTTGTCTCTCTCTTGGTTCAGGTTGTCGGCATGTGCAGAAGGCTCAGATACACCAAAGAATTAGAAACACGTCTGTTCACAGCGATTCCAACTTGGCCCTACATGAGATGGACAACAGTATGAATCGTACCGGTGTGACTACCCGGGCATTGTAGCGAACACATACTAATGAAAAATTCCAAGCAAGTCCGGATGGAGTCTCAGTCCATGAGTGCTGCTTGCTGCTGCTGCTGCTGCTGCTGCTGCTGCTGCCGCACCGCTTCGAAAAGTCTTGTGAACCGGTGCGAACCGCCACTTCATTGTCCGACCTGTGTTCACAGATCACCAGTACCTGGATGCCATGGCACTGCAGCTGGCGTCAGGAGAAGAGGCGGCGAGGGCTGCTAAGAGCTTCACATGCTGCCGCATTGCTGCCTTGGCTGTACTGGTCTGGTGCTTGGCTGTTTTCGCCATGACAGAGGTGCAGCGAGTCCACAGGGTGTAGAGGATCTCGGTCTTGACCAAACCATGCTCCCTGGGTTGATATCGTCTTTGCTTCCGGCTCATTCCATTTTCCGCTCACCACTGCTGGGCTGCACGTGGCCTGCCCTTGTTGCCCAACATGTGGATGGCACTGGATGGGCTTTCGCCTTATCCTCTTTGCTCCTCCATCTGCACATGATCCAATCTGCACGCGATCCATGCGCATTAACTTGGAGTTTGTTGCGCCATGTTTGGCCAGGCAAAACCGAAGCTCAATGCAAAGACACTTTTTGTATTGGGAGCCATGAACCTCATCGATTCTCGGCAGCATGCCCGTCATTCTTACGCCTACGCTTTGTTGCGCAGTACCCAAAACTTGAAAGCCAAAGCCTTTTGACCGGGCAATGACGTCTTAACTGGTCTGCGGAGGATTGTATCAATGTGAACCTCCTCACTCCATACGTGGACAAGATGGTCTCGACTTTCTTGGACAAGAGCCCGCAGAGTCCTGAAGTAGCTCACACAGCCCCTCGCCAGCAGCTCGCGTGGGACCTGACCGAAACCATGCTTTTGCAGGTGCATGGTTTCCCAGTATCAGCCCAAGTTGACGAAATGAGCGGAACTGGTTGCAGCACTTCCAAGAAGAGGGAGAGTTTGCTCCGAAGTAGTTCAAAGCTATGTCAGCAAAGGTCGGGTTGCTCATTGGCCTTTACTCGCTCTTGGAGGTGGGGACTTTGCAAGTGGGCTTGGGAAGACGAACTCAGGCTGTGAATGCAGGCCTTGGCCTTTCAACGCCTTGTCTCAGATTTGGTACGATCAGGTTGAGGTGTGTGCACGGAGCCTTTTTGGGCCCCGGCTGCAGTGTCGCTTCGTTGGGGAGTATCGAGTACTTGCAGCAAAGGTTTGAGAGCTCACGGCAGACAGCTGACTTGTTCGACTGGTCAGGTCATTTGTTCTCCATTCTGGGGAATGTTTGCCGATTTTGCGGGAAGGAAGCGAGTGCCCCAGACACGGAGGTGCCCCAACGCCCTGGGGCCCTGAGGGAATTGGCTAGTATAGTCAGGCTGGTTGAAGAGCACCAGGAGGAAGAAAAGGGCAACGACTTGCCAATTAAGGTCGGGAAACAAAAGCAAAGAACAAATTGCGAGCATGGTACGTCATAGTGAAATCGGCTGCTGCAAGTTGGAAGCTGGAGCCATGCTGGATTGGAGAAACACGGTTTTTGCAAGGCCAGGTTCAGCCTGCCGGATCCCAGGCCACCAGTTCTCAGGTCGTCGGACACGTGACTTCAGGAATCACATATTATCCAACGATGTCGCGAATCAGAATTCAGCCCCTCCCTGTCTCACATGATACTACTGCTGAAATCTGAATTTAAACCATTCGAATCACAACGCGGCTGAATCCTATTGGTGCAATTTCCAGGCTTTCGTGTTCCAGATTTTGGGTTGCCGGGTTTGGGTATCTTTCGGCGTTCAGGGTTCTCGGTTCACGAGTTAAAACGCGCCGTGTTTTTGTCTTGTTTCGGGTACAGGATTTGCGGCTTGCACATTGGAGTGGCGAACCCTGCGACCTCAAAGGGCTTCTTATCGTCCACTGCGTAAGTAGGTGATACTCGTTGAGACCCAGGCTGACCTGTGATGGGGTGGACAAGCTCTATCAGACCTTCAGGTCAGATTGCCGTGCAGGTTTTCGAGCAGATCCCGCTTCAATGCTTGCAAGGGTGTCTCGTTATGGAAACAGCGGTCCAGGCCAAGCCGGCTCCCAGTTACTGCTTTGGCAGAGCAAAAACTAAAACACGGTCATGCCCCAATGGCAGAACTCGGTCGGCTTACTTGTGGAAGCAAGGAGCCATGGGGATACCGCGCTCGGCTGTGCACACATGCGCAACGTTTCCAGAAGTTTGTGAGTCTGCTGGAGTATGGAAGGCCGGAAAACAAAACTGCAACTTGCTTTGTAACCGCAAGATTGAGACAAACAAACTGGGAAGCCACATCTACTGAGGAGGGCTCAGTCTTCCAGCAGAGAAGATGAAAAAGGACATTGTGGATAGCCGACCAACAAGATGCAGAGCGTCAATCACATAAGTCTGGCATTAGTGCTGGATATGGCTTTCCGGAGGGGTAGGCAGTGGGGGGAGGGGGGCATCTTGCAAGCTGGCGGCACCAAATACCGGCACGGAACCATGTAAACACCATGTCGTCCGATATTGCTTGCAGTGGTTTCGGAACTCGGGCAAGTCTTAGTCTCGCGGTTGTTGGAGCACCCCACAAGTTTGAGAAAGCACAGACATCAGAAGCCGAGGCCGTGTCTCCTCATCGGCCTTGCCGGTTCGGCCATTGCCCCTATCCTTTTCGGTGCCCTGCTGTGCGCTTGGGAGCCTGGTTACTTCAGTAGAAGATCGAGAATCTAGCATTTCTTTGCGCCGACAAACGGCAGGTGCAATACGTAGCTCTAGCCAGGCTGCATGCCCGTGTTCTTCTGTGCCACACTTGGTAGTTCAAGATGTGCGTTTCCTGAATTGCCACGACCGCGAGCGTCTTAGGTTTGGGACAGTCGCTTCCCGTCATCTTCGCTGCCCGAGCACTCGACGGCTTCTTCTGCGGAAACATGGGCGTAGCCTCGCTTGGTTTGGTCCAACAAATCTTGTGAGACATCGTTGCATGATGCAGCCTGCCATTGGGCTTAGCCGGCAGTCGGCTTCGATTAGCGATAAACATTGAGGTTGTTTTTTCAGAGTTTTGATTGGCTTCAGGTCGGGTTCATGAAGCTGATGACGGACTTGAAGCGTTTTCTTTTGACTCTGCTGTGTCGAGCAGAGACGGGTTGAGGTCACACGAACGTATCTGGGCGAGATCGTCGATGAAACGAACGAGGCAGGAAGAGCCCAAAGCCGGCTTTGTGAAGACGATCTTCGTTTCGGTTTCTGGTGCTCAAGTGAAGGGAGGGAGAGAGGTGCCCAGCCTGGTCTTCGACTAGCGGTACCAGCGGTGGCGTGCAAATGTTCATGGCATGTGCACAGTGGTGTCACTGGCTTCCAACAGCCCAGCCCCCTCAGCCCGAATGCGAAGGCACGAGGCTTCAGCTTTCTGGCTCTCTGCTTCTCAGTGGGCCTCTTCTTGGGACCCATCTTGGGAGGAGAGTTGCTCGACCCAGAAATCTGGCTTCCGGTTTGCGGCGAAGCAACTGCAGTTGAATCTTGTGTGAGATCATGCTACTATCCTCGCGACTTGCGCCAAGCCAATGTTGCATTCCTTAGCAAGATACCTAAGGTTGGTGTATCCGGCACATTGGGCCCCGAGCATTTTCGGCGACACCGTCTTCGACTCGCATCCTTTCCTGCTGCCCAATCTAACGTATGCAGCATGGCTAAGCTTCATAGAGCTGTAATGCACGAACATGTTTGTCGCGTCTGGCAGTCTAGGCTTCTGGTGCATCGGCTGTTTCTGAGGCCATTTTCGCAGCAGTCTCGTGGCCCCATATCTGCAGCCAGTAGGATGGCTTTACAAGCTCAGCTGTGCAGCAACAAATTGTACGGAGAAGCTTGAAAAAATATCTTCGCTTGACAGCACGTTACACAGGCTACTGGTAGGAGTGGCAGCAAGTCTAAGGGGGAGCATGTGCGCTCAGGTGCATTGGGGCGACCTTTTTGGAGGACTTGTCTTCAAATCAACTCTTGTGTACCCTGCGTGTTCCCTGCACTCCTGTTTTATGCCATGCTTCGAGATAAAAGGCCGCGCGAGAATTCGCAAGAATGTTGTGGCCTTTAAGGATGTGGTGCCGCCGGACTAGCAGCAGCGCTCTAGCAGGTTCTCGTCGGTCATGTACACATTGGCAGCACGAAAGCCCTCGAGAATGGCCACTAGCCAGGAGAGTGTATAGTGAGAGTAAGGCAGAAAAACCGACAAAGAGCTGTTTCGTGTAGGAGACATTGCCCAAAAGCCAGCGCTGCGTCCGTCATCGAAGCACCGTGGCCATTCCGCCAGGGTCTGAGGCGGCACAGCACATACTCAGCCTGTGTGTTGACGTAGTTGAGACCTGTTCAGTCTTTGCTAGGGCCGATGCGTAGGCAGTCAATCACAAGTCGCAAGAGGGAGGGTATAGAAGAACGAAGACACGCTGAGGTGGCATGAAGGATATGCAAGAAAGGGCACTAAGCACTGCTCGAACTTCAAGACAGTGATGACGAAGTTTAGGGGAGTGCCGTATGACTTTCGGAATCCGAGCATGGCCTCCTGGCAATTCTCCGAGGCTTCTGAGGGAATGAGTGTTTGTCTTTTGAGAGAAACCACGACGGAATGCTGTTTTGTCCTCGGGTGTGGAGATCTTTCGGAATCAATCCAATTCCTCTTTAAGACGCTAACTGGCTCAAACTTTGAAGTTACATAATGTTTTGTGGGTATTTGTACACATGCCCCGTTGGAACGGGAGCTCGATGTGCTGCAACTCCAAGGCCTACTCCGTCAATGCGACGGACGCTTTCAGGCACAGATCCCTCAGGCACAGAGATCAAAGATCCGTGCGGACACGACACGAGACCTGGGGTCTGGGGGGAGACACTGCCGAATTCGGCACTCCTTGTCAGCTGGCACTAGGGGAGCAGCAGGAAGTGTGCTTGACTCAGTGCGACAGGAGTGCGGCCGTGACTGTGCTGTAACGTTGTCAGGGGGCCCCTGTTCGGATGTTTGTCTGAAGTCGTGGGATGTTACTCATGACATTTTTGACCAAACCTGTGCGTGAATCAAGCGCTTGTGTGTTAGCCCATGCCGGCCTGGCGCAGGCGCGCCTCGTTCATATGTTTGCGAGGATGCCAATGAGCCAGCGAACTCAGGACACCAGTGTTACGGTAACATTGGGACCACCCCTCATTGTCATGGCAAGCCACAGGCTGCGTGAGGTTTGTAGACATACGCGAAATTTTTTAGGCTCTTACACCCGACTGGACTGGCTTCGGGGGAGGATGACCGCCTGAAGGCTTTTGAAGGCTCAGACGATCAGATGGCCGCTGTTGCTTGACCATGGACATGTGAGGAATTGCTGACAGCAAGTGCTATCCAATGACAGTAATCCAGAGCCTTGGTTTGAACTAGCCCACATTGAGACGGTCATACTAGGAAGCTGAACTGGAGCTGTTCGGTCCACCTGACCTGTCTCCGACATGGCTTGCTTCGGCATCTGCAGACTCCAGTGATGGTGAGAGTGTCCAAGACAGACTGCAAGGCACTGTTCACCAGACCCCTCAGAGTGCCGAACTCACCAACCTCCCAGGGTCATGATCGCGTACTGTGGCCTGTCGGGATGCGTAGCGGCACAGAATCAGCTGATGATTCTGTTGGTGCCCGGCTCTCAGCATGTCTGAGGTCTCAGACGACATGTGTCTCTGCGTGCACTGTGCCCATCTTTAGTGACGCGCAGATCCCCAAGTCAGGTCATATGACCGCTCAGCTGATGGCTTTGCCTTCGGCCCACAGGAGATTGGGATCATGCAAAACATAGGCCTGCCGGGGCCTGCCCGCCTGCCGCCTTGTCCAAAGAAGTTCTTTTTTTTGGGAGGCGCCGTTGGACTGTTGATGTCCCAGCTATTTCTATACCCAACCCTGACAAAGAAGCTGGGCCTCTTGGCAACACGCCATCCTTGAGGAGAGGTTGGGGAGAAGAGTGCAGCGAAACACATGAATTAGCCCAGACCTGCTTTAGCTGTGTCACCAGGTAGACAGATTGAACGTACCCACCGCTTGCAGCTCAAGAAGAAAGCCACACAGTCGACCAGTCCAAGTGACCGGCGTGTCTTAAGTCCTAGTGCATCTTGAGGTGCCATCCCCATGAGGTAGCCTTTACCATCAAAGAGCCATTTGCAAAAAGTAGACACCAAAACAAAATGAAAACAGAGAGCTCCCACAAAAGCAAGCAACACACTGAGCCACAGTTTGTGCCTGAGAAGACAGACTTGCAGCATAGTGCGAAGGGCCACAAGAAGCGGTGCTTGCAGCTTAGCACAAAGAGCATGCGATGAATCAGTGCTGCTCAGGTTTCCTGAATACCTTCGTGATTGGGTGCGTGTTATGCAATCTTTCCTATGGCCTGTTCCCAATTTATGGTGCCGTGGATGCAGTAGCAAAGTTTTCGGAGCTTCAGTTTAGACTCTGAGTGTGTTTCATGTGTTGTTGACTTCCAGCTGCAATGACGTGTCAGCATGATGAAAATTAGGTTCACTTAGTTTAATACGCGTCGAACTCGCTTTTCTCATCCTGAGGTCTCTATGCAGATCCGGCAACTTACGGTGCCATGCCTAGAAGGTTTTTCTTCCCCTGTAGCGGCGGGTGTTGACGTTGTTCCGCTCCTGCAAAAAAGAATCAATTAGATTATTGCGACAAGTGTTTGCACCACTCCTCGCTTCGAGATTGTTGCCCGAAGCTTCCGGCAGTTTGTGGCACCAAGTCTGCACATGTGCAGGAGTCTGATGTTCTAAACGGTCTACAGCGGTCCTGTCGACAATCGCATCGCGCAGGCTCTTGGAGATTCTTGCCTCTGGGCCTCTGCCAGTTTTTCTACACAGCGGGGACAGGCATGATGTATCCCACTACCTTCGCATTCATCAACCGCTGCTCGGCTGCACCGAATGGACTTGTCCCTTTCTCGTAGACGGTACCGTAGTCGTGTCGGAAATCGAAAATGCAGCAAAGCCTTGCAGTTGAGCGTTGTCCAGAGACATGCAACCATCGCCGTGGTGGACACGGCCTGCAATGGTCAAAGCCAGGCATGTAGCCATGAGGTGTGAAGTTCTGGAGAGAAAGTGCGACGACCGTGATAACAGCATATCTCAGCTTTGACTGTTTGAATTGCGAAGTCAAGGCACCAGTTGACCAAGTGGTGCCCAAACTGATGTTGAATGTTGAAACATGGTGGGATCTCATGGCATAAATGAACGCACTTGAACTTGCTAGCTTTGCAATTAAACATCCCCCAGCCTAAACCTTGAATTTATTCTCAGGTGCGTCGGAGGGCATGAGCCGAGGGGCCGTTAACGGCTGGGCAAATTCCACGGGCTCCCTGACTGCTCGGATCCTTATGTTGCAGGATCGAGGCCTCCTAGGTAATGAAGGTTGTTGAATGTGGGGAAACCCCAAAATTCTCCTGCCAGAGCTTCAGGTGCAGATAGGGTGCGAGGTAGCTACACGGCCAGTTTTCAAGCAAGAGGTATGGACCAGAGGATTTTTTGGGTGGATTTCTGCGAGTCATCTCAGCCCGATCAGTAGGCTAGGCATTTGGTTAGGACTACCCTGAAAGTGACTTCGAGCCGTACCTCGCCAGTCCGAACGTACGAAATACAGGTGCGTTGTGCCGTGCAGTCTTCCCACCCGCAGCTGCCGCTGCTCGGCTTGCAATGGTCCGGGAGAGTCTGTCTTGCGAATGGGAAGGCATCGGTGACCAGGTCCTGAAGGCCGACTTGAGCACATGCCCATGATTCATATGATGCTTATGTCAGCGCAATTTTCAGGCCTGTCTTGCATGCGGGATGCAATACGTCACGTTGAGCATCGCATTTCATGGCAACTGCCGCTGAGGCGCTCCTGGGTCAATGTAACCGTTGCTTGCCTCGGCTTGGGGGCTTCAAAGCTCGAGAAGTCTAAGCGAACCTGCGAGCCTCGTGCCCGGCTTTGAGGACTGGGGCCGTTTGGCCGCTATATCCCTTTCTACGTTATCACTTTCATTTTGGTTCTGACCCTGGCCTTGGCCTGAGTTGAAGGGTGAGACGACCATCAGCGGAGGTCCCGCTTCAGACGTGGGTATGAGCTCAGGCCGTCTCCTGGACCGGCCTGCGCAAGATCGATCAGAAGAGTGTCCGCACAGTCACGTCTCAGACCGCTAGCTGTGCGGATGAGGAGGACTGTCGAAGATCACGGCGCGAGCCGCTCATGGAGAGTTGAAGCTTCAAGAGAAAGGCCGGGGGTCTAGATGGTTTGGCATCAAAAGCTTCTTGAGATGTCCTGAGAGTGTTCTCGGTGTTGCTCTGGTTCATTACCAGTTCTCAGCAGTCCAACCTGGAAGCTTTGCTCCAGTGCTGGTGTTTCAGGGTCGGCCAGACCCGCAGTTCAATTCAGCGTGACTCCTGCCGATTTTCGCCTAGGTTTTCTGGGTTGACACAGATCTCTTGTTTGCTTGCATACCCTTTCACCTCCCGTCTGCTTGGGATTCGGAGGCTGAGCTGCTAGCAGCTAACTCCGTTCAAGAGATGTACAGACTACAGTTGCAATGCGCGGGAAAAAAACCATCGTGAGCATGCATGGCGTGCATCCGACAGTCCCTGTACAGTTGAAAAGTTGGCTAAAACTAAAATGTTTCAGACTGTGGTCGGTTTGTGTAGTGACGGGGAAAACCCGGCACCGGGTCACCCACTGCTGCCACACATGCCCTCTCCAAACGAGAGGGTGCGATCAACGGCGAGAGCTTCGTGTCGTCGTCTGCCTGGGACACGTGCGTCTTCAAGGGTGTCCTTCCCCAATCTCGGGGTGCAGCAGTAGCGTGTCCGAGAAATGCAAAAGCGCAAGACAGGTATGCTCCGGTCGTGCTCATGAGCGATCAAGTCTGGCCAGACAAGTGTGCGTGAGCCGTATTTCTGGGACTCCCAGACCCAGACATTACTTCAACATGTTGCTACAAAGTGCTCAGAGCTACACATGAAGAGCCATGGACTGGAGCTGTCTTGCTGTCCTGCCGCTGCCTCAGGCTCTGCAAACGCTTGCGGATGTAGGTCAGAAGCAAGTTTTCTAGCGAGCCACAAGCCTCCACTTGGGGACAATATGCATGGGAGCTAATGTGGAAGAGCAGTTGGTCCAAGGTTCAGCTTCGGCTATGCAGCAGAAGCTCCGCACTTACTTGGATGCTCCACTGATGTTTTCTTGAAGGCCATGCTTAGCATTGCACCCTCAAGCTCACCCTGGCCTAAGCAAGGTGCCCTGCGCGGGCCTGCCCTTCCGTTGCAAGCCTGGTGGTCAGCCACGGACTCGGAAGCAATGCTTTCCTTGGAGATGGTCGGCCCTCTGTTGACTGCAGCGCGTGACTCCATCCAGCGATGTTAAGGGATATGATTCTGATCTCGTGTGGCACCTATATTGTTGGTGAGGTTTGGCTGCATTTGGTACTACACGCCAGGTCGACAATACATGATGCTCCCTGCAACCAAGTACCATGCAGAGAATCAAAATACAACACCGTAGCATTTGACATATGTTTCAGCCAGGGCATGCGCGTGCACATGCATTCGTATGCGCCTATAGTGGCTTACTTGTGTCGTGGAGTCAGATACTCACGTTCGTCTGCATGCTGCGCAGGAGGCACATGCAGCGTGACGACACACTGTTCACTTAGAGCACTACCGCAGGACACACCTGTGCATGCTTACCTACCTGCCTGACTGCCTGCACGCTGCCTGCTTGTGTTTGAGCTTCCTCGTTTTTCTGCTGTCCGATGTGCACAGGCCTGTGCCGTGCAGGCTGGAAAGAGGGAAAAGAGTTGAGAGCTCATTTGTGGAAGAGGCATATACTAGGGTATGTTTATGGCGAGTTGATGGTGCTAGTTGACGGGGGTAGCCCGCGTAAACTGAGAGTGTGTGCTTCAGGCCTCGTTGCTGGCAAGCTTCGGTTCCTGTCTGGGAGCTTGTGCTCTAGGTCCCTAGGTGCTTCAAGATGCTTCTGTCTGCAGGCCAGCTTCGGCTTTCAACTGGCCAGCAATCTTGGACCTCCTTCGGAGCGACGAGGCCGCGTCATGAGGCGTTTGGCGACCACACTCTGGGTTCCGTTCATGAGAGGCAGCGGCACTGCTCGGTGCGTCCCCCGCACTGCATGGTGAAGTGATTGCGGCGGTCAAGAGCGGAGAAGGTTGGGAACAGTGAGACCACAAGAGACTGAGAGCTGACGGCTCAGGTCGACTTACTCACTCCCTACACATACAATGAAGTCGATTTTTTGATCTCGGGCTTCCGCAACTGCGACTCAAGCTGAGACATCAATGTTGCACGTGCTCCTTAGGAACACAACTGGTATGTGGATCAAGCAAGCTCCTGACGCAAGCTTGCCAAAGAGCGCGCCACCGCAGCCTCTCCAATTTTTTCCTTTCAGTTTTCATGTCGCAGGATGGGCACCCTGCGAGGCTGCGGCCGTCGAGGAAGCAAAGGGTCTGCTTTCAACGCTCCAGGCAGCTGGTCCGGATATTGCTGGTACAGGCATCGCTTTTGGTTTCCTGATGATTTTGATGAGGAGCTTGGTGTTGTCTTGTGGTGGCTTTGCTTCTGCGTACATCACGCCCTTTAAGTCTTGTTCGTGTAGCGCTTGCTTGACCTTTGGTAGGGAAGGTATGAAATATGTGGATATTCTCTCGCTCTCTATATACACAACATACACACATTCATTCACATACTCATACACGTATCTGTACATGGCTTCTGCATTTACATAGGTATGTATGTATTCATTCATTCATTGGTATATTGATTTATTCATTGCTTCACGAAGATGTATTGTAGAGAGAGCGTGCCTGCTTACCTTCAGGCACCAGTGTAATCAGGATGTGTAGCCGCGTAGCTGCTAGTCGTCGACCCTGCTGATGTACAGGGCCCAAGCTACATATCAGCCGGGATCACATGTAGTTGCCTGTCGATCGTGGTTGGATCTTGACTTGTTTTTCTGACTGGTGCACTGCGGAGTAAATGGTTATCGGTCGCTGGTGGCCCCTGTGCTATGCAATGAAAGGCCTAGTCATCTGCCGGTGTGGATCGCGATGCACGCTTCACCATCAAAGCTCCCTTGCGATTTTGCGCGATGTTGGGCGAGGAAGGCGAACACAGTCGAACACCTGGGCTTGGCATCAACAACCATTATATGATATTATATGTTTTCCATAGATGTATTTCTAGACTAATGTGCTTGAACATTCGTATTTCTCCGGCCTGCGCAGCCTTACTAATTCCATCATTAATTCTAAGGGCTGCGCAAGGAAAAGGCCAGAAATCTAAGCCTTACAGCTCCAAATGGCCAGTGTGTAGCTGAAAGCCCAAACCCCACTAATTTTGTATCGAATGAATATTCGCTTCGAGGCAGCTTTGCCACTGCCGGGCTTTGAGAAAGGGGAACACAGCGTCGAATGCACGTGAAAGTGGTACCGAACACACCTTTATCGGCAGACTTCCGACACCCCAACCCTTTGCCTCCAACAGATCCCGCCAATTCTACATTCTGAAACTCGCCGGTCAATGGCGTAGCAACAACTGGTGGATCCAAAAAACAGCCATTCAGTGCACAAATAAGACAGAATGCGCGACGAAGATGCAGACGGTGAGTTCAGTTCTTGCTGAGTACTATGTTGAAGCTGACAACAGCCTGCAGGTTGGCGGTACCTGGGTGGCCCCACGCAGAAGGCCGATGTGCACTGCTTCGTCTGGTTCGGTTGACTGTCATCTTTTGGTGTTTGTCTATTTTGATTGGTTGTTCCAGACTTTTCTGGGCAGAGTCTGTGCCTGCTCCCCGTGCTCTGACACCAGTCGCCGGCTGTCACCACCACGAGTGGGCGCTGTGAAGCCATACGGTTGGCTCAACGAGGCTGGTGAAACCTAACCCGTGTTCAATTCGGAACGAAGCTCTTTGGAAGACGTGTCGGTCTCAGGATCTGAGCTTAGGCAAGTGTAGCTCATGGAGCAGAGATGCTTTGCGGGTGAAAGAACTTCCACATGAAATCCTTCGTTTTTTCTTGGAACAATCGCGCAGCCGTCCCGGTGCCAGACTCTTCAGCGCAGTGCCGACGGCCTGGCTGGCCGGCTCTTCGAGTACGCCCACATTAGAACGAGTTACAAGTGCGTGCGCTCTTGCTCGTGCTTTCAAGCTCGCTAAGTCAGGCTGTTCCCACCGTCTTCAGCCTGATCTTCCTTGCGTGAGCTGCCATGGAGCAGGTTCTATCCGCCGGTCGCAGATTCCAATTTTGTGGGTGGAAGGCGCGCTCGGCCAATTGCAAGCAATGTAGCAGCCGTGATTTATTGTGGGTGTTCGTGCCCTTTGCAAGCTTTGCGTTATAACCACCAGCAGGGCATGTCGTCCCACACCTCGGCACTACTTGGCTTGTGGATTTCACCGTTTGTAAAACTGTACCGACACGCTGCAACAGGCCAAGTGTGTTGGTGTGATCGTATCACTGAGAGCTGACGTCAGGTCTTCGTACTCCAGCTTGCATGAGGACAGGCTCCTGGTCTCGGAATCTCACAGTTGCAACCGCAGAGCCTAAACCTTCAGACGCAGACCTGCAGCTATGCGAGCATCTGTAATCTGGAGGACTTTCCGTACGCTGTGAATGGCTTGGTGGCTCTGGCTGCGGCTGCTGGGCAGCGCCGTGTCGGAGTGCTTGCTGATGAGGCCGAACCACTGGAGGCTTCACACGCTATGTTGTTGGCAGGCAGGAAAGCCCACAGAAGCGGACCCCTCCCCTCCTTTTTCCATCGCAGCCCCATTGTCCACGCCTTAAATGCTAGGGCCAGAGCAACGACTGGCCGGTAGGCGATCGAGCGGCTTCTTGCGACGTCTGCCGGAGGTCCAGTGCGAAGCAGACGTGAAAGCGGTGCACCGCGGTATGTCAGTCAAGTAGAGTGCTTCAGCAGGCTGGCTGGGTCCGGATGAGTGGCCTTTGATGGAAGAGTCCGAGGAGGACTCTTCGCAAAGTGCGCGAGTAGCGATTATTCGTAGAGATTTTTTCCGGTTTTTTCTCTCAGGCGATGGCCGAGCGCTTCGGCCGCCTCTCGGGTTCCCTTTGGGCCAGGCCCCGTTGCCAGAGCGGCCCGAGCGGAGCGTCGAGCGCGACTGTGACGGCGCGCCCCCAGAGCCTCGCCAAACGCCTGCGCAGGTTCCCTGCACTGCAAGCGTTGGACGCTTTGCACTGACTGGTGTTGGAGCTTTCGGCTTGCGGAAGGTTCTGCGATGCTGTGCCGGCGAATCTGGATCCCGAAAGTCAGGTCCAATATGCGGAGTGGCGTGCCAAAGAACCCGGAGACCGCGGCTGTCGAGCCTTTTTTGCTGCTGAGGCTTCCCTCGACTCCGGTCTGCGCACGAGGGAATCCGAATCCCAATCCACATCTGTGCCGAGCCTCGCTGGAGGCCTTCGTCTTGGAGCTGGGGCGCAGGTTGGACGAAGGCTCCGGAGCAAAGGTGTCTCATCAGGAAGAAGGATCAAGTAGGCTTTCTGGAAGTTTGCAGAAAGGAGTCTCTGTATGTAACCATGGCTTGCGACAGCTTGTGCTGACATGGACCTTCTGGTCCAGCCGTAAGCAGTTGGGGCATCCGAAGCATCCAGAGCCTCCTCACAGAACCCGACCTGAAGGGCGCGTGCGCCTCGTCGCTTGGAGTTCGGCACGCTGGCCAGAGCTGCTTTGGGTGCTGCAGGCTTTACGCGGGCCAAGAGCCCCGCGCTGCACGCCTGCAGAGAGTTTTTTCTGGTTTTCCGTCGTCTAGCTTCCCCGGATGATTCAATGCAGTCGGCCGGACCTCTATCATGGAGGGGGTCGTATCAATAGCTAGCAGAAGTGACTACTGTACACTAGCAGTATGACTAGTCAGACTAGTCAGAGTGCGAGTATGCGCGTCAGCGTTTCTATTGACAGCAGTGCTAGTAGTCTGAATAGTAGCTAGTAGCAGTAGTATTTGTAGGTCGTCGTCCTGGTCGTCGTGGTATCGTAGTGGTGGTGGTGGTAGTAGTGGTGGTAGTAGTAGTAGTAGTAGCAGCAGTAGAAGCAGTACGAGTAGTAGGAGCAGTAGGAGTGGAGGGGTAGTAGGAGTAGTAGTAGGAGTATATTAGGAGTAGGAGTAGGAGTTTAGTAGGAGTAGTAGGAGTGTAGTAGGAGTGTAGTAGGAGTACAGTAGGAGTACAGTAGGAGTAGTAGGAGAAGTGGTGGTAGGAGGAGGAAGACTGTCCGGACCGGAATAAACAAAATGAGGGTTTTTATAATTAGCAGCTCTACATCAACTGGACATAAAAATCAGGTACACATGAAAAGTACACAGAGACAAACACAGAATCAACACGCAGCAAAACATAACACAGCAGACTGAGCAGAATGGAAACATAGAACACCACAAACTCAAACAGAAAGGACAGAAAATGAAAGGACCATCAACAGCTGTTGATTTTTGCCGATGGATCCCAGAACAACTAGTCTTAAACGGGAATTGGGTGTCATAACACGAACCCCAGTTCACAACAATGTTGCCGATCGGAAGGGCTCCAGGCTCCAGCCCTTCTCCCTTGGACTTTCTGGGGTTTTTTCTCTGAGGTACAGCCTGTGGTGCTGCGGCCCCGGACGGCCTTGCGCTGAGGCGGCTGGCATGGCTGGCGCGGCTGTTCCCTATCGAAACGGAGATTGGAAATTGCTGGGTAAAGTTGTGGCTCTCGCAATGCTTTGGTGTCATTGAGTAATTCGGCTCGCAAGCTGCTGGAAAGGCAAGCTGTTACCTGCTGTTTCGCGCACCGCCATGTTTACAAAGTCTGGGGAGAACAGTGGCAAGGACCTGTGCTGCCGAGGCAAGGCTACGACTGGCAACGATGGTTCAGCAATGAGACGTTTCCCAAGAAGGCGTTGAGCTGCAGCCTTAGCCGACAGCACTGCAAAGGAGCTTCTATGTCATGAGTTGAGCTGCAATATCGTCCGCTCCAGGTCGGGAGGAGTTCAGCCTGTACTCGCACGGGGTCAACAATGCCGTAGCATTTAAGTTTGCGGCACTGTGGAGTGGCGAAATGGATGCAGCGGATGCAGCGGATGCAGCAGAGGCGCGCTTGCAGCACCACGAAATCACAGAGCCATGTCTATTTCGCAGGCATCGCTGAATGCTTGGCACCAACTGCGACGATATCATGGTGTGGCCTCAGGTGCAGCATGTGCAGCCCGCGTGCCTCGAGAGTAGTGGGCACCAGACTTTGCTCGGGGCAACTGCGTTTTGATCCTGCCTCCAGTGATTTTCGTGTCCACGTATTGGGACGCTCCCCCAGCTTGAGAATGGGCTTCCGCCCAACACAGGCCTCCAACTAAGGAATGCTTCCCTGTGTGTCTCACATGTCTCACCTGTGCAGGTGCAATTGGGGCAGACGAGCACCTTGCCGGGCGCGCGCCACACCGTGGTACCGAGCTTTGTGCTCCGTGGCAGCACGAGCATTTACCAGGTTGGCCCAAGGGAATGCAGTGCGCAAGAGCTAGCTGCAAAGACAACCATCACCTTGATGATTCCCAAAATCATCGCCCCAATGGGATCGCCGGAGGTTTCTAGAAATCGGCCGATGCTTTGCAAAATTCGCACGGCACATGATGGCCGCACGTAAGGCTAGGAATAACTTGGGAGCATCTGCTGTCGGTCCCGGCACGGTGCTCGGAGTACGATTTCAATCTCTTCGCATGAGCAGTTTTCAATAGTCCTCATGCCAGTGAAGCATCGAGTAAAGGCTGTCAGCCTCGGCAGGTTGTCGTGGAGTCCATGCGGAGCTTGGAAGAAGCCTACGCCGCGATGCCGAACAGGCAGAGTTTACCCGAGAACTGGGGTTGGGCAGTCAGCTGCTTGCTTCGTGGAGAGGGCAGAACCTGTGAGGGCTTTGGGAAGTCGGAGGGTTGCTTGGCTGCGAGGCCGGAGCTGGCCGACAGCTTGGAGGTCCTCTTGACGCATCCCATCCCGGAATGCCTCGGTGTCTAATGCGGCAGCTGGAGGTCTTGGCATTCAACAGTTTGCCTGCAGCAGTGAGCGACGACCACTGGACACACCAGAATCTGCCTTAGAGTGTTGTCTTCTCAGCCTCTGAGAGTTTCAGGGGGCATGCAGCGAGGTATCTCACCCAGTCCAATGCGGCCTTTGCTGGCATTGTCACTCGGAAGTACTGGTCTCTCTTGCTTCGCTCCATGCCGCATGCCCATGCTGCAGGAATCTGTGCAAGAGACAGACAACGACGGACCTCGCCTTTCGAAGGCGCAAGCTTGCTGCCATCGCACGGAGTTCGACGAGGTGCGACGGCCAGGTGTTTGGCAATGTCGGTGTGGATGCCACGCTATATGGCCTTTCACCGCGCAGTGCTTGGCAATGTGTTCTAGCCCCTCGGCTGGTGACTCCTACAACTTGCTGAATGTCAGGAACTTTCCGTGCTGCACCGTGAACTTCGCGCAGGGCTGGGCAAAATTTGTTGACGCGGGCTCAGTTTTGCAGCTGGACTTGTGCCCAAGTCGCGTGGAGCAGAAACCTTAAAACTAGGCCCTTTGCCGGCCCCTTGGCCCTTGACTTTGCGTCAGGCCTCGGGCCTTTGGCTGTTCGAAGACGGCTCCTTGTCTCCAAGAGCGAGACGTGCTGTTTTGGCCCTGCGCCACTTTGCAAACCCATGCAAGATCTACACTTCTACGCTCTTCTACGCATGGAACACCTGCAGGTGGCCGTCAGCTTGGCCTGCAGGAAACGCAGTGGCACCTAGAGTCGTCGTGTGAGTGACAGTCAGGCAGGTTTGTGCCAATTGTCAATGTCGCAAAGTCGGGACCTTGCCTGGCAAAACGGCCTTCAGACAGCACCGAAATCAAGCCACACAGCCTTGACACACCCCGGATATGACAACCCGTTATTTCTGCGCACCCATCCTGCGCACCTGCTCTGTCCTCCCCTGATTTCTGCAAACATCTGCAAACCTGGGCTTAACGTCTCTGGTGCAGAGGCCGCTGCTTCTCTCTGCCGCCTTCGCCCCGTCATCGATCTCCGTGCCGGAGCCAGTTGGTGGCGAGGTGCAAGTGGTTGGGAGTTCCTCATTGTTTCTCTCAGGACTTGGATAAGACTGACACGGTACTAGCAAGCTTGGCATTTGCCAGGGTCACTTCACGTCGAGAGACCGGATCGTTCCAGAAGTGAGGTCAGATGTGCTGCGGTCACAGGTCCGTAGGGCATGCTTGTACATGTTCAGGTGGAGCTGTCTACTGCGTATCCCTTCGATCCAGAGGCACCGGCGCACACTGTCTTGTCTCCCATGCTCGCTTGCCTTGCAGTTTGCTGGCCTTGTTTACTTGTCCGACACACGCAGGGTCCGCTGCGCTACACTGCGAGAGGCATCCGCCCTCCGCGCTGAGCCAAGACATGTCGGAGGTGTTCCATCTTCGCGTTCTCTGGCGATCAGATCCTGTGAGGCTTCAGCTCCTCATTCGTGTGCCGCAGTGGGCCGACCTCGAGCGCTCAGAGGCCGTCAGAGGCCATGCAGCACAGCTTCTTTTGTCTGGCTGGCTTTTGTAAGGCTGCCGGTGCTCGTGGCCGCTTTCTTCTCAAGGATGTCGCGACTGAGCGCCAGGCTCCAAGGATGTATCTCTTTGGGTCTTGTTTTTTGGCTGGAATACAGATGCACACTTCTTATCGAGCGATGGAAACTCCATTCGCAGCTATAGATGCATTGCTTCGATTTGAGCCGTTTTGTGTTCCTGCGGTCCCACATGCTGCTGGGTATACTTACAGGCCTGGAGCCTTCCCCATGATGAGATACATGAGTTGCACAGAACCCTGTGCAACTCCAGACGTCAAATGCGGTGTTTTGTCTTCAGGGTAAATAAACGTGTTTCGATTGCATGCTGGCCCGAAGAAGCATTTCAATCGCAATGTGTGACACGGAAGTCCTGCAACCGGGCTTTGAAAAAAGCTCCTAATTACCAAGTTTCTTCACGGACTTGAGCACCGCTCGGAGTTGCTGCGTGAGAGTTGCAAAGGGCCGCCCAAGCAACGATTCAATGGGCAACCATGCTGTTCATTGTTTGAGTCTGGCTCAGCAAAAGGTTCTGTTTAAGCAACAAAGGTGCAGATTCCCTGTAGCGCTGTTCAGACCGGTCCCTTTCTGGAAGTCGCGGAGCACACATGAGGTCCATCCACACTTGGTCTCCTCATCGAGGAGCCGAATGCCGAGTGGGAGGCACGCTGGAATAGGATCATCTGCGCAAGATTGCCAGACTCAAATCTAGAAGTGTTCGCTCAGATTTTGGTTGTGAAAGCGGCAGTTCCTCCTGAGGTCCGCTTTGTTCCGAAGCCGTTGCTGAGAGAAGGAGTCGCCGGAGCCAGCATCCAGCCGGGCTCCCTGCCACACCGCCAAAGGCAAAGCATGCCTCTCTTTCGCAGCTCCAGGTTCGGACCGCTGATGTTTGTCCAGCCAATTTCGCACCGCGCGGTGCCTTTGCCTTTGGACGGTAGCATGTCGGCAACAGAGCTGAAGCTTTGGCACCGGAATTCTGCAAGGCGTGTTGCATGAAGCTGTGAAGTCAACCAAAGCCCCAGCATGTCAAAGGCATTGTTTTCTTTTCGATGCGTGTCGCGATGCCGGAGCGGCAACCAAGATGGGCCATATGGTCCCGGTGCCCATCCTCCTCCTGCAGTTCGCGATGAAATGTTGGTTCCTTTGCAGGAGCCGGAGGTGCCACCCTTAGCTGCCAGAAAGGTGGTCATGCTGCTCCATGTTACGTTGCCATGTGCGAAGCAAAGCTTGGCTGGCCGTTCAGAGTTCAGACGAGGCAGGGCAGCATGTCAGACGGTTCACCTACCAGTAACGGTGGCTTGATGCTAGCTCCTTTCCTCCTTTCCTCCTAGACTCAGTATGACGCAGTCTTGAGTTCACACCAGCTCTTTGTCACTTCCACAACGAATGGCAGAACCTTAACCACGAAAGCTAGTCTCTGAGGGCTAGTGGAGTTGCCTGGCGGGTGAGAAACGAGAGCTGCCCGTTCCAACGGTACGGAGGGGCAGGGCACCCGCCCGAGCTGAACGCAAACAAGAGGCATTTCAACGAGCAGCGAGGAGATATGATGTGATGCTGATGATGCTGCGTTCCGGGTTCCGGTAGGGGCTCGAAGCATGCATCCAGCCCCGGTGCTCAATGCAGACTCCGCTCCGGCTCAAAGTCCTGAGCCCGACGTTTTTCGGGTCATAGTTTATCTGGAAAGTGTCTGCTTCGTGGCAAGAGTGCAGTGCATCCTACAAAAGCTATCAACTTTCGCGACCCCCTCATCCACAGCAAACCAGATGACTCAACACATTTTCAGCAGACATGTGGTTCATGAGTTTGCTGTTTGTTTTGTGGTGATTCCTTCACTAGTAGCCGGAAGAAGCGACCCAGCGTCCCCACAAGTCACCGTATGAGCTAATCGTATCTGCCTTTTTTCAACATTCCCTGCTGGCGACTCTCTGCAAACCCACAAGGCATAAGCATGACCTTTGGACTGCGTAGCTCTCCAGTGTCAATGAAGTCTTCCCAAGACTTCCAGAAGATTTGCCCAACTCCAAGGTTTGGAGTCTCCTCCTGAACGAAACCTGGGAGAAGGGTGCTGACCTGAGCGTACTTAGGCTGCTTGGGCCAAGTCTTGACCTCGAGACGAAAACTTCAGGGTTACGATACGACTTTGCGACAAAAGATCGCCGAGCCCTGAGAGCCGAGACCTCACCATCTCGGCTCCCGAGGGCTCGCTGGAGGCCAGCAGGAGTGCGAGTCACTCCAGGTTTGAAAGGGTGAATGGATGGATCTGGAGGTTCAAGCTGCGGGTGGTGAGTTTCCGGTTTGATTCCCGATGGTGAGGGTGATCGATTTTGCTGAGTTTAAGGTTTAGTCAGTGTGTTGCCAGAATTGGTGTTTATCAGAGCGCAACTGCTGCTCTCTGCAGGGCTTCCAGCTGGACGGTTGCCCAACGTTGGCGCTGTCTGGGCACAGGCAGGAGATGTGATTGGGATGTTTCGAGCCGTTTGATGCCACGCAGCTCCAGTGAGCCCGATACTGTTGCAGTTTAGCGATGAGTAGTGTAAGCATGACGGACCTGCAGAGCCTGTGCCGAGGCTTGAGGCTTTCGGATGCACGAAGCTGCGCGGGTGTCTCAAGTCCGTGCAGATGCCGGCTGAGTTCATTTTTGCACATCCAGCTCCGTGGCAGCACTGTTCGACTTGCATTCATAGGTTTTGCCGAGCTCCCCATCTTCGTGGAAACAGACGGAGTCGTGCGGCCAGCTTGGCAGAAAAGATGCTTCTGCTCGCCTTGAACGTTCATGTATGGCCCGGCTTAGAAGGTAGCACTGGAATGCAAGCATGACGTCGTCATATCATCTCCAAGCACTGGAGCTCGAGTTCTGATTTTGGTTTAGAGTCTTCGGTGGAGCCTGGGTGATTCACGATGCTGCCGTCATATGTTCAAAAACATTGCCTGTATTGTTGGAGAGTTGTGTTCAGCCGAGACACACACACACACATCAGTTGCTGAGCTGTAGTGGATTCAAGGCAACCCGAGGCATCGAAGTCGAATCTGAGTTCCGTCGGCACCACCCTTCGACTCTTCCTTGCGTCAACGTTTCAAAGTCATGTTGGTCTTTCGTGGCATCTCATAACTAATGTAGAAACAACACAGGCAGGTCCGAGTGATGCTGCTTTCCCGTGTGGCTACCGCCGTCAAGCTTCCACGACTCTGCTATGACGCGCCGTCTGCCCCGGCTTGATTGCAGAAATGCTGCTTCGATGTTCGACATCACACCACGCGATGCTTTTTCGCAAGTGTTCAATGCCCCACCAAATTTTGGGATCGTAAAGCAACGCGTGCCTGAACCGCCCACCTGGAAGTCGCCGCTGTTGCCAGGAGCAGCTGGCCTTCAGAGCTCTTGAATTCTTTCCTTCCGTTGGGAAAGACAGGCCCCATGAAGTTGTCGCATGATCTTGATGGGTTTTGCAGCAGATCGACGGCTTCGGATGGGACAGATCTGAAAGGATCGATTCTTTGCAGGACTTGTCAGCTTTTTGTGTGGTTGGAAGGAGCCGTGGCAAGTGCGGGGATAGACAGCAGAATACACTCCTGGGTGAATTCGTAGCAGCAGACGGGCTACAGATAGTAGCGCTAGTCGAGGGAGGGAGGTGGCATTGTCTCCGGAACCACTGGTGGTGCGTGCATGTACTCAGAAGTCGAAGCAATACTGCAGAGCTAGTCCAGTGCCCTGCGCTTGGCCAATCCAAGAGGTTCCCGCTTGGTTGGCTTGGGAGGGTGCAAGCGGAGGGTGCATGTGTGCAAGGTGGCTGTGTTCAGGTGGTGCATGCTGGTCAGTAGATGAGTCAGAAACTGGCCCTTGAGTCAGAAACTGAGCCTCAGAAGCTGCGCCGCGGATGACAAACTGCGCGTCGGGAACCGCCGCGCCTCAGAAACTGCGCAGCAGATCTCGGCGCGCATCGGAGGCTGTGCGTCAGAACCAGGCACGCATCGGAAACTGGAGATTGGAAACCAGCGCATGGGTCCACCCACACCGAGACCCCATGGTTGCCCGCATAGCATTGCCTCGTGCGCGTCATCATCGTTGTTGTTTCTCCAGCTAATGCTGCAAAGACTTGAAGTCGAAGTGCTAATACGCCTTTCAGGCCCAGAAACGCGCTTGGCTTGTTGCACAGGCCAGCCCAGTCCAGAAGCTTTGCGCTTTCTTGACGAAGCTCCTCGGGTGCGACAGCCGAGAAAGTCTTGTGCAGTTGTCAGGCTTGCAAAGTAGTGGTCATTGATGTTGGAGCCCGCAAAATCCACAATGGCACATGAAAAAATCATCCGAAAACTTGTGTCTAGCCTAGCTTGCTCAGGCATCTAAGACTGACGCCACTTCCAAGCCACCACACCCCAGGAGGAGCTTGAGCCCGATCGCGCAGCGAGCTTGCAAACCGTCCTAAGCGTCTGCAGTTTTTCGATCCATGGACCGAGCCACACTCACTGGTTTTTTGTCAAACGAAGGAGCTTGTGTTTTGGGCGCACATAAACTTGGGTGGGGCGGTGGGGAGAGAGAATCGGAGCTTGGCGCGGTCGGCGGCTTAAAGAGAGCACAAGCAGCGCAGATGAATCCAGTGCTCCTAGTAACAGTGCTCATGCCAGCTTTCGACAGAAAGCAGTTGTCACAAGGATGCTCCAAGTCTTCTGGGCTGCTGGGATAAGGGTTGATGATCGAACAGGAATTTTACAATGGTTTACACTGGTCGTTGGTCGTTGTTACACCGAGGCCACGCTGACACAGACGCTGCTGCATCGGAGCCTGTGCTGCTTTCCCTTGGCCTTGCCGGCTCGCAATCTGAGGCACGAGAGCGGTGGCTCTCATGAAGCCGAGTGTTTCAGCTCTCGCCAGGATGACTTTGACATCAACGCGCGTGGACCTTATTACTCACATGGACACGATCCCAATACTTTCAAGCATTGATGCATATCGCAGCTGGTTGCCTGCCCTTGAGAGTTTTGGAAACCTTCACAGCATGATGAAACTACGGAGCTTACATGCCATTGCCCATGACTACATCTGCGCCGAGCATGGCTACATGCCCCCCTTTTGCTGCGTGCATGCCTATCTACCTCTACGTGCCTACATGCCAAACATGCAGGCACGAGGACCTACTATGCTATGTCTTCAGTCCCGAATTCAAAATCATACCCGACACCAGGCCTTGCATACCGAAGTAGGAGTGGCCCGCGTGCTGCAAAGTCGAGACTCGTGAGAGTTTGGTTTTCAGTCAGGACACATGTTATACACGTCGTGCGGAAAAGGTGACAAGTTTCTGTGGCTAGAAACAGAAATGTCAGAAGTCGTCATCAAAAAGGAACTGCTTATATCCGTGAAGTGCTGCAGGTGGTTTGACCTTTACCCGTTGCACCTCTTCAGCCACAGTCAGCTTGCTTCGCTCCTCGTTTGAATTGAAATCGAGAGTTATTTCAGGGTTTCAGGACAGGAAGGTACAGCGTCTTTGTGGCGAGGTCAGGTGTTGTTCAACGTATTGTGGCCGTAACCGCTTCGCGTCGTCCGGCTGCTAGAGAGTTGTCTCGCTTGCCCCGCGCAGACCAAGGAGTCTAGCATTTGTGCTAGTTCTCAGGTGCCAAGTCTCTGTGCACAATGGGTCAGTGGGTCGCAGGAGTAGTCTCGACACCGGGGCCCAATTAGCAGGTTCAGAGGTGTAGTGCAACTTGTTGCACGGAGTGACATGTACGAGCGACAGCAGCAGACTCCGCAGCTGCTGTCCGCTCGAAGTCTGAAGCTTTTCTGAAAATAGCCTTCGCATGCCTTCGCCCTCGCTCCGCCATGTCATGTCGGGAAGAGGCGCTTCTTCGAGCGGAGCAGCAAGCAGGTGACGTGGTGCCCGAGAACATGTTCCGCACTGCGTCGCGAATCTTCCGGAACTTGCAGTCATTGCGACGATGACATGTGCGTGTGCTTGATCGCAGCTGGTGTGGATGGCATCCCTCGGCTTCTTGGAGTTGGGCACTCCGCCTTGATGATTCTCGACAGCCGCCGCGCCTTTCGCGTCGCAGCGCAGGGCCTGGCCATCGTTTTCGCCAAGCAGCACATGCAGGTTTCTGGCTTGATACCTCCACCCACTCCGGCAGCTTCAGTGAGCAAGTCTATAAGGCCAAAGGCGCTGGTCGTGGCACAGCTCCACCGACGACAGCATTCCCGGCAACCGTGGCGACGAGCCCCACCCCGCCGCCCGCACCGACTACACGATCCAAGGCTACCTCTTCGCAGTGCGGTGAAAAGCAGGTACCTGCTACAAAGACGCAGCCAGCCAAGCCCAACATGCCCATCAAGGTGCCGTCGCACGTTCCTGGTTGCAACGCTCCGCCGGCCTTGGTGGCTGTGTTCACCTGCCTGGACACGATGGCGCCCGACCCGGAGCCACCGCCTCCGAACCAGCTTCAGTATCGACCTCGACATCCGCAATCCCTGCAGGCCCAGGCCCAGGACTTCTTCGACATGCATGTCCCTGACTACGTCAATGCTCCACCTCAGACCGTGCCTCCGCTACCGCCCGCCCGTGCCCGACAGCTCTGGAAAAGGACGCTAAGGCGGTCGAGATCTCCGGACGACGCCCCCGCTCTGACCGCAGCCCTCCCACCGGCCGATGACCCAAGGCCAGAGCCCAATGGATGCTGCCTCGACAGCCGCCATGTGGCTGTCCCAGACCCGCTGGTCAGATGCAACTGGATGGCGGCCGGCACCGCCTCCGAGCTTTCCTCCGCCTCACTCAGGCGGGCCACCCAGACCCGTGCGAGTTGCTGCCGGGCGAGCCGGCCTATGTCTGGACACGAAAGGAGTACCTGCGGAGAGCACCGGCTCGCCACGCGCCACGCCGATGCAACCTAGGAGGGACCACGCAGCAGTCTGTTTTGGACGCTGCTCTCATTCGCACGGCCTCCGGCACGGTGCACCCCACCCCAACCCTCCTTCCTCGCCGAAGCCACGCTGCATTAAGTGTCTCTCGCCCCGCCTCTCTCTCTATGTCTTCTCCGAGTGACGGCAAGGGCTTTGCAAGTGTTTCGCGTCGTCATGTGTGCTGTCGCTTCACTCGGTTCGCCTCGTCTCGTGCTAGCCGGCCGCACACATCGAGGTCCTCCTTGTGCTGTCGGGATACAAGAAGGACGAAGGGGACCAGCCCGCCAAGTCGCAACGATCAGCCTCAGGTCGGGACCTCTGCCGTGGCACTGGCGGCGGCTGACCCAGTGAATGCTGAGCACGCCGTCCGGGACGTTCGGGACAACGTCTACGCACGGTCGGCTCGTGCACTGCTGGATGCTCGCTGGACCACTTGGCGGCTTGGCAACGTCAGCGACACAGTGAGTCGCGGAGACCTTCGCCACGTTCGCGCCGAAGGTTGGGCTCTTGTTCAGAGGGACTGGGGCGCCCTCTTCCCGGAGCTACTGAGGGTGAGAGCTTTAGGGTTACCGGGGTGCTTTAATGGTGATTCACACCGCCTCGCGTCGATCGCGTTTGAGACGTTTTCGATTCGAATGCGACGGGTGAGACCGGTTGCATTTCGGTGCCTGCCGCTACGCATCCAAAAATGTTCAGTCTTGCGCGAAAGCGAGATGTCGTGTAGTGCAACTTGTTGCACAGAGTGACATGTACCAGCGACGGCCGCAAACTCGTCAGCTGTTGTCCGCTCGAAGTCTGGAGCTTTTCTGAAAACCCGCCCACACCGCCCTCTATATCTATATATGTATGTGTAATTGGAGTGGTGGGGTGATTCGGCACCGCTTCGCATCAATCGTGTCTGAGAGGTCTTCGATTCGATGTGCGAGACTCGAACGCATGCATGGCTAAACCGACATCACTGAAGGCTCCTTGCTGCTGCCAGCTTGACCCTTCCGATTCAGCGAGGTGCTTCAGGGGGGCATGCCACGTTTAGTCGGTGTTTGGTCGTGTGCAGCACAATCATTTCGTCGTTCAGGATGATTTGTAGAAGTCGAAAGCGTTGTCAGAAGTTGCCAGTGGATGCAATGCCGCAGGTCTGGATGTTGGTGCTTGGGGACAGAAATATCTGGAGGGTGCAGAGGTTGTGTTTGCCGGCGAATCGGAGGTCCGCAGTAAGGTTCGATTTTCAGTGCAACTGCCGGATGCGTTTGCACTCCGAGATTTCAGAAGCCATCCGAATCCCTTAGCACAACAGCGACCCGAGTCCGAGGCTGGTGCCGGCGGCGTGTCGGAGCCACTTCGCGACGTTTGCAGGAGCGACGCGGGCTTGCCGCAGGCTTGCTGTAAGGTTGACCCAATCGAGCGTGGTCGTGAGAGGTCCTTGATCGCAGTGGAAACGTCCAGGGCCATGGCTCGGACCTTAAGGCAAGGGACAAAGGGGTCAGTCACCCGGGGTGAGTCACCCGGTTTGCCTGCGCCAACTTTCGCTCTTGGCTGTAGGAACCGCGGGCGCGAGACATGGTGTGAGGATCTGGCAGTCACAGCAGCCGCCACGTTCTCAGAGCCTCGCAAGCTGGCACGGACGCAAGGCTGTTGGAATGTGACAGTGACAAGCGAGTCCTCGGTGGGGTCCGAAGGAAAGGCTCCAAACCGGGCTAGATAGGCAGAACTCGACCAATATCATTACAAGAGAGGCGCGGCAAGCCGAGGGCGGTGCGCCCAGCATGTTCAGATGGGTTCGCGGTGTGCTCACGGGCTGTCCTGGTTGGGAAGTTGTGAACAGCGTTTCGCAAAGATAGGGTCTTGGCAGTTTCAGATTGGAAAGACATTGGCCTCTGTGCTTGGGGGCCGGATGATGCGGGCGAGGGTTGAGTTGACGAGCATCGTTGATCCCCTCACATGCTGTCAAGGGGAGGAGTTTCAGCTGGTGGCTCTGCTCAATGTCCTTGACCGCTGTGCAAAGCCGAGGTGGGCAAGAAAGACGGATGCTGTTCGTGCGCATGTTCGCTGCCCACTATTTTAGCAGTGCTACGAGCAAGCTACGATCATTACGAGTCGATGTCCACTTTCCATTATTTCGCAGCGCCCCAGTACTTGATGAATGAACTTCGGGAATCTGCGGGTCCCGCTTCATGCTGCAGCCTGCCGTGCTCAGTTCAAGTTCTGTTTGCGTAAACTCAGCCACGACCTGCTGTGAGAGCATTCTTCTGACATGCTGCATTTGTGGACTGAGTCTTTGCGAGCTAGAAGTTCAATATATAGCCCGGACAAACTGAAAGCCGTTCGATTCAACTTCTCCGCGCTGGTGGCAGCAACTTGGCAGGAGCCTCTTGGCAGGTGCCCGGCTGCTCATGCCTCGAGGCTCGTGGCCGCAGCCTCATCACTTCTTCGGGATCGCATGCTGTTCATACTCCTGCTAGTCCTGGTCCACAGTCAACAAGCGTTTTTGTTGGATTGAGGGGGCGTGCGCATTGGTTGGTTCAGTACTCAGGCCGTGTTGGAGGCTTGGAGGCTGTACAAGCTTGATCTCCTTATACCACTCGGATAGAGCTTTAACATATCTGAGCCTCAGGCAGCCCCTGCTTCATGAACCTCAGGCTTTTGCTTGCCACGCCACTGCCATTCCATGGCGCCTTCTACGGTTGGAGGTTGGTGTGATGTATTCGTACATCATGCGGGATCTTACCAAAAGGCCCTCTGTTGGTGCCGAACATGCAATGTCCCGAAAGCAGCGCAGCTTTTCTAGCTTGCTGCACGTGCCAGAACAGCCTGGACGGGATGGCAAGGGGAGACTCTGGCTCTCGGTGCAGAGGTGCGGTCTGTGTGGGTCGTGGATTGCGGAGGCATCAGGGCTTGATTTGGGATAAGTCTCGGCAGGGTGAAGGCCGAGCCGGACGTGTGCAGTAGTCCGAAGCTAAAGCAATTTCGGAGCTCGGAGGCCCAACCCTTGAATCCCCTCTCGAAGAGCCCAGCCGAAACGCCAGGCTTCCTGGGCAGGCGCAAAGAGGGCACCTTCGTGAGTGCTTCAAGGGGGCCAAAACGAGCCGGTCTGGGCTTGAGGGATTCGGTTTGCGCCTGTCAGGGTTTTCGACATTTATTGGGCGAGATAAGTGAACTCTTGCAGCGTTGCTGGCTTTGCTTGTGTGGTTGTGCACGTGTGCATCAAGTGACAAAACCCGTTCGACGATATTACCTCTCGAGTCCGCCGGTGCGGGCAGCAGCTTTTACAAGCAGCTTTTCCACGCGCAGCCATGGCTGATGCAGGGACCGACCCGGTCCAGACCCGCCCGGATGAGCATAGCTGGGGTGAAATCCGTCCGGAGGCGGTATCCTCGCAAGCCGTGGGGTCAGGTCCCCCTGCAGGTGGAACAGTGGAAGACGCTGCTGCGTTTCGTTCGGAGCCTTCTGCAGCGGTGTGATGACAGCCTGACGTGTGTTCATCGGCATCCATGTTCGACGATGCAGCCGTGCAGTGCATGGCAGCGCTCGAGGAGGTGATCCAGACTCCTCCGAGAGCCTGTCCGATAAGAGCTGCCTGCTAAGGCTCCCACAGTGGCGGCACCAACGGGTCCACCGCCGAGTTCCGCGACGAAGAGCTACAGCACGAGCATCCTGGACGACACCTCCAACATGGTGGATGCGGACAATCAGAACGGGGAGCTGATTGTACGGAGCTTGTCAAGAAGAGTCTAAAAGAAAATCACGAGGCCATGGAGGCCCGAAGAAGATAACAAGATGCAAAGTCAAGAAAACAACAAGAGACCGGACCAAGATGCCGAGGGCACACCAGATCAAGAGGTAAAGATGTCTCCGGACCGAGTTGCCCAAAGCACTTCCTGGTATGTTGATCCTATGGACCCTGGGGCCCCAGAGACTTTCGAGAAGACTGGGTTGAGTTTGGGTGTTGGTGGTGGATTGGTTAGGGGTTCGGGCCTCCGGTGCCTCTTTCTTTCTCTCTGCCTTCTCCCTTGCTCTTTCTGCCTCCCCTGTGCTCCCGACGACCACAAGCGATTTGGATGCCTTAAACCTTAGCCCATCGGGCTTAGCTGTAGTGGACCAGTGCCATGTTCGCCGTGGTGCTGGAATTGCTGGCGGAGTTGACGCCATGAACCTTGAGCGGCGTGGGCTTCTGGACCAGGGGCCTTGCTCGCAAATTAAAGCATGTCGTTCGACTGGTTTTGTCGTGGTTGTCAGTTAGATAATCACTTGCCGCAGTCTGCTTCGTTCCATTTGCACATTGGCTTGCCCACATTGCAAATTTCAGTTCTGAGTGCGTTGGATTTCAACACAATTTCTTGGGATTCGACGCCGCAGTCGCCTAGTTCGTACAACATTTTTTGTTTTGCCGGTGGCGCACTTCTGGCGTTCAAGGCTTTTTTGGGCTTTTGCTGGGTGTGTGGTTGTAGTCATCATCTGTACGGAGCCACAGCCCAAAGTACACCCACGAGTACTGTTTGTCAGCGTGATCGCAAACTCAGAGCCGCTGCGGCACAGTTGCGGGCCACAGCACACCGGAGTCTTAGAGTACAGCGAGCGAAGTCTCGCGCGGCGCGTCGGCTTCGAAACGTGTTCGCATCGAGAAGTTGCTTTTGGAGGGGCTTAACGACATGTTGGCGAAAGTGGACATGCTGATGTCTGACTCTAGGTTTCCCTCCCGTGGTCGGTCTCGCGGTCCGTCGCCGCCGCGGGGCCGTAGCCCTGGAAGGAGGGAGGAGCGGGACCCCGTGCTTGACTCAGAGTGGAGTCAGGTTGTGGGCCGCAAAGGTAAGAACAAAGGTAAAGGTAAGCGTAAAGGCCAGGGCCTTGCCAAACTTGACGCCGATTCTTCTGAGCCTCGTCAGTCTCGTGAGGTCAAGTTTGCTGACGCTGACTTAGGGGTCACCTGCTGGCTCGGCTCAAGGCGCTAATCCTTGAGTGTGAGGTCCAAGGAACCAAAGACCTCCTCCCCAAGCTGAGAATCTTGGTGCAAGGGGGAGCAAGCAGATGGTGTGCCCACCGCTTGCTCTCCACGGCTTGCTGCACGTTCCATTAGTCCGATGCTGAGACCTGTGGTCGATGGCTTTCGAACACCTTGGCCCCTGGGACTCCCACTAGGCCCTCTGAGCACAGGCCCGACGTCCCCAAGCTGCACCGTTCGGAAAGGAATCCATGGATCATCAATCAAGTTTGGTGGCCAGGGAAGGTGGCGTCATTCGCAAAGTTCGTTCAAGCAATTGACATGGGCAAGGTGCCTGAAACCGACATTTCTGTAGCTACACATGATGAGGCCCTGCAACTCAAGGAACTGGTTGCTACCCATGGGCTTAGCATCCCGGACAAGCATACCCACGGCCTTGTCCAAGAGTACATCCCGCTCCACACTGGAGCCTGGAAGGTTGCAGTTGCCCTCCCGCTGCAGGGTGAGCTGCCCAAGCAGGGCCCGCAGCCTCACGTCGTCAGTACTGAGGCCGGTTAGGACTGTGTCCCAGCCTCAGTTAAGCTCGCGGCCAATGCACGTGACTTTGCCGACAATTTTTTCCGAGGAGGACTGGGCAACCGCGCTGCAGAAACCCCGTAGTTTATTCATTGCCAGTCTTCCCAGTAGCATGTGTGTGCGCACGTACGGTTGGCAAGGGTTCACGCCCGGGAACCTGTGGTTGTTGGCTTTTTGCAGACTCTGGAAAGTGCAGTCAACACGGTTCCTTTTGAGGTCGGGTTTACGATGTGTTTTCCTCTCTCCTCTCCCTCCCAAAGGTGCTGGTGAGGCTTGCACTAAGCAGCCTATCAAGTGGCTGCCCCGGGAATGAGGGATGAGCGGAGGATCATACTTTGCTTGTGCCAAACAGGACGCGTATGCAAACAAACGGCCCCTCGCCTATCGGAAAGGAGGCAGATCCAACTTGGCCTTGTTGGCGTTGCCCCCGACAGACGGATGAGAGCCAAGTCTGCAAACGCTGGTGTGGTTCGACAAGGTGGACACCTCAGCATTTCACTCAGGTCTTGGAACAGTCCGGGTGGAGGCGAAAGCCTCTCCTGCTCTCCAGAAAATCCACGAGCACACCAATGTAAGCTTGCCTGCCAAACGGGCTGCCAAGGGACCCGAACAGGTTCGGACAAAAAGGTGACCAGTTTGGCAACGCGCTCTGGGCCGGGTCCGAGGCTGTGGCGCAAACACGCTACCAGCTAGCCAGCTGCATCCAAGCAGCGGAGGCCACAGTCAACACTCCTCAGTGCCGTGGATCACGAGGGCGCTTACCGGTCGCTCCCAGCTAGGGACCCGTCCGAATGCGGGTCATCATGCCAGTCGACGGTGCGCCTGCACTCTTTCACCACAAACTGCTGCCTCCCTTTCGGCAACACTGGGAGTGTAGGGTCGTTACTCCGTGTGGCAGATGTGCTGTCTTTCCTGGCAGTATCCTTGCTGCTAGTACCGTCAGCCCACTTCGTTGATGACTTTTACCAGGATTCTCGGCGTTCAAAATTTTTCACACCAGCTGGGACTTCAAGATGAAGGAGCCCAAGGGAAAACGATCTGCCAGGTCACACGCCTTGCTCGGAGTTCTGTGGACTTTGGTTCCAGAGGGTGTGTGGGCGAGGACGGACTGTCGGTGACCCAGATGGCGGAATTGTGCTTGCTGCGCATCCAATCGTCTGCGCGCCTGACTTTTCCTGCCTGAACGACGGGACGCACGGGAGGCACAAGCTGTGGTGTCATGAAGCAGCAGCTGGCTAACCCCGGAAAAGGGCCTGACACTCGACCTAACCTGCACTCGTCGAGAATTTTGGCGAGCATCGTTGCAGAATGTTTGTTAGGACTCAGGGTTGTCACAACTGACCGGACGTGGTCACGCTTTGTGACAGGAACTCGGACTGTCGGGAGTGCTTGAAGTCGGAACGTGCTGCCCAACCTGTGCCTGGCGCCAACGGGCCCAGCAAAGAAACACCCCAAAAAGCCCAATTACTATAAAAGGCTCAATTACTATTCTGGTGTCCTCGCTGGTAAACCTGACGAATGTGTGCAGGTGCGATCAGAAACGACGACTCTTGTTCCTCCCCTGGATTCAGCCAAGCAGCAAGCTCGTTATCACTAACCTTAGTCCAGGAAACGAGTAAGTGACTTCGTGCTCTTCAGCCGCTTTAAACTGCTTCCACTCCAGTTCGTCGGCCGAAGTTGCAGTGCCGCCAGCACGTCGTATCAGTTTTTCACTGTTGGTCGAGCTTCTGCCTGCTCTCAAGCCACGCTCTTGCCTAGCATCTTCCGTTCTGTGGAGATGAAGATTGACCGCCTTCATGCAGAACTATGCATGGCGATCGGCGGAGTGCCAACAGGTGGATGGAAAACATTGTAGTTCTGCAGCAATTGCGTGAGTCCACCAACGGCTGAGCGAGCGATTTCCGTGGGGCCGTCAGGATCCCGCCGGTGCTTTAGAGCACAGGTTCCAGAGCAATGTGCTCCGCCAGTGCTCCTTTTCGTGAGATTACATCTACTGGCTGGAGTCGATAGCACAGTTGATCTCCATCGTAGTGATCGCCTGTGACCAGTTCGATTGTCTCGTGTGCTTCGTGGACAACGCTGCTGCTGAGCATGGCCTCAACAACGGGACCTTCAAAAATCCAGCATTGTGTTGGTTGATACTTTCAATGAGTTGCCAGTCAGGCTATATAATCTCTCCGATAAGGTGTCTCGACGGACGACATCGGCTGTCAGCGGTTGGAGCCTCCGCCCGAGAAAGCTTAGCCCGACCTTTTGCGATTACAAGAAGCTCCGGCGAACTTGGCAGCGTGGGCTACCAGACAGTCGTGGACAGCCTGTTCGCTTGACCACCACACTCCGAAAGGCGCGCGGTGCGTGGTTAGTTCGAGCGCACCGTTTAAAACGGTTCTGTTGCTCCAACCCGTTCGGCGAGAAGGGAGAGCCTCGACCATGTCTGCTTGTTGGCAGTACAGCTAAAGGTTTTGTCTGGTCGTGCACGTGTGCATGAAGTGACAAAACCCGTTCGACGATGTTACCTCTCGAGTTTGCCGGTGCGGACAGCAGTTTTTTCAAGTCCCGCTTCACCGGCCCTGCCGATTCACCCGTCCGAATGGCGGCTTGTCCGAGTGCTCCGTTTAAAACGGTTTTGTTGCTCCAACCCGTTCGTTCGCAGACGAACGCCAGCACAGTCGAGCCAGAGTCTAGGCGAATAGCCAAGTCTCGACCATGTTGTTAGCAGTACAGCGGAGTTTCGGGTTTTGTTTTGCCTGGTCGTGATTCTGATGCAGGTGAGCGACACAACCTTCTGAAATTTTGGTTTGTTTTGCACTGACCCGGCATGTCAGCTGCAAGAGTCTGCGAAAAGATATATTTTTTATTGTGCCGACACCGCCTCGAAGGATGACCAAAGTAGAATCGCAGGCCAAGCGCAGCGTCTGATCCAGGAGGTGTTGCCGCAAGAAGGCTGGACAACGTGGTGCATGATGTTCGGAGATATCCCGAAATCACGTGCGTTCGGTTTCGGGCACACGGCAGACAAAGCGAAGGTTTCCATAGTCTGCGAACATCAAACAAACCCTTTGTCTCTGAGCCACCCCTAGCCTTGTCGAAGCATCCACACCAACTGCTCGTGGCTGGCACGGAGGCTTTGAGCCTGTTGTTGTTTCACGGCTTCCATACCTTTGTGCTGGAGATGCCTGGTGCCCAGACGTGGCCGATTCGGCCGATTCTCCGTGGTCATTGAGGCATTTGACGAGTCCCTGAGGCATTTGTAGCCTTCTCCGAGCTGGATGACCTGATTGTTCTGGCCAGGAGAATGTAAGGCTCCAGCTTGGCAGAAAACAAGCGCAGTAGCATGCCTTCAAGAAGTGAGTTGTGAGACTATGTTTTCCACATGCCACAGCAAACCTGATGAGGTTCGAAACAATTTCGAAACGACACTCATGATACTTATGACGTTGTGTTATGGCCATGTGGGATTAACAGCACAGGCAACATTCCCAAGAAGCTTCCTTCATGTTCTGGATGCTTGCTGCAGCTGTGGATGTTGTCCCACACGATGCAGATGGGTTCAACATTTTCATAGGGAGAAGCCAATAGCTTGTACATGTCCGCAGCTGGACCTGGTGACGAAACGCTTCTGCGCAGGCATTTTCATGCCGTGCAGGTTCAGGCCCCAGCCGGTGCTATGGATCGCTGCTCGCTCCGGCCGCCCGCAACATTAGCTTCGAAGTGTCCGATGAAGTACTTTCACGCCAGTGCTAGAAATCAGGCAGAGTCGGGCTGCAGACCTGTAAGGAGTCTTCCGTCTTTCTGAGCACTCGCAATCATGGTTCATTTGCTGGAGCATGTCGCAAGGCGATCAGCCTAGCTTAATCCTTGGCAGTCCATGCGTCATCATCCTGAGCAGCATTTTGCGGCAGCCATGCCGTCCCCAGGGATCCCAGGCTGGCACGATGCGCTCACTACATGAACATGCCCGATGCTGTGCAGGTGGCTACGACCCTCAGCTCGTAGGCGCAGCATCCGCCAACACATGTATGGGGTTGCTCCAAGTCGCCCCTGTAATTTGTTACAGTGATACCGGCAGTTTTGTTGCTGCCAGGAGTGCTTGGTAGTTCACTGCAGTCCCAATGTAGACACCCCAGAAAGAATGCAGGCTACACCCACCAGATCAACGTCGATGCCTGAGTTCGGAGCACCGCTTGGCCATGGACGGCGAGATTCTGAGGTGACGCCTCCAAGCCTGGGTGTGCCAGGCCTTCAGGCTCCGCAGGCGCCCGACGGTACTCACCACTCCCGGATGAAGCCGGGCATCGAAGAGGAAACTTAGAAACAAAGCACCTACGCTGAGAGGGCCTCCAGATGCCTCCACCTTTGCCACTGGCGTCGCCTCTTGCCACTCGGCCGTGATAGGATGGCGAGGCTGAGTCGTTAAGTTCTGCACTGAAAAATTGACCTTGTTGATGTATGTTCTGCTGATTCAGAAAAGCCGGAGCCAAGCCGCCGACTTCCGACACGCAGTTGCTTCGAAGGGGGCTGTCTCCCAAGGCCGTACCCTCCCTGGATGTCAGCCTGGATCCTGCATCACCAGAGCAGCTGTAGCTTGGCAACGGATTAACAGGTTGTTATGGGGTCGTGTGCCATAAATATCGATTCGGCTTGAAACTTGATGTTCCGTGCGATTGGATTGCGCTCCGGAGTCCAGGTCATGTTGTTGGTTCACTGCGCTCTCATTGCCATACGCATATGCACATGCCCGCTGTGCACGCGTGCTCGCTGTGTGTCTGTGTGTGCGGGTTTGAGTGTGTGTTGATACATTCGTGAAAACTCGCAGCACATTTTGACAAGTCGGCATAGTCTCGTTTAGGCATGCGCCTGCATCAGCCCTCCCTCAGGAATGATCTTGCAGCCAAGGGGAAGCAGCTGGAGGCTAGAAGAGAGCTCCCAGCCTCGATGGACAGAACGTGAGAGAGTGTTGTGTTCCTGCTTTCTGCAAGAGGGCTCGTGCTATCTCGTACTATCAGATTCTGGACTTGCTACCCCTTGCGACTGCGCCGAGGGGGGTCCAGCAAGGAATCTAACATCTCATCCGAGTGTTTTTTGACATTCACGAAGAGAGGCCCTACAGAACTACTACGCCTCTTTGCAGCAGACGCTGCAAGCTGAGCGTGAGTGCGCTGGAGACCCGGCCGTTTTACTGTACACATGAGCTTGTGGCACCGAGAGCAATCTCCGAAAGCCTGCGAAGAGCATTGGCACTCTTCTCCTAGATCCAAGTTGCATGTGCAAAGAGGAATGCACGAGTTTCAGCATGTCGCACAGCATTCCCGCGAAACATTCATTGACCATGCTGCAGTGCCACTGATTGAGTCACATCGAACTTCGGCTCAAAGAAGACTTTTGAGATCTCCCTTGATCGAACTGAGGCTTCCGGCTCCTGCGACAAGGTGTTGATGAAGCTCCGCGAGGAGGTGCGAAATTGGGGACTATGTTTGCTTGAGTGCGGAACGTGGCTTGCTCGCAGGCTGGAAAGTATTATTTGGGCTCGTTTCATGTTGCAGAGCCTTTTCAACGTTTTTCAGCCATCCCAAGAGATCCCAAGAGGCTCAACCGCATCCGTTTGGCAAAGTTGCCATCACGCCTACACTCCATGACTCCATGATGTTGAAGCTGCCGCGTGTAACCACGAAAACGACGGCAGATCTTCTGCAGCAACACAGCCCATTATGATTGTGGTGCTTCGTCACTCAGGCTTGCCGTCATTTACATGAAAGTCTTGCTGAGTTTCTGCGATGCCTAAGCAAACTGTTGCAGCTTCTGCTGATTATTAGGATACATATGTCGGGGGTGTCTGCAGTTGAGCTTCTACTGCCCACAGGTGGCAGGCCTATCGCCGAGCCTGGTGGCCTTAGCTGCTCGATGCTTGGAGGGATGGGAGGGTCTTCACTGTCGAGGGCTGAGTTTCTAAAGACTTCTCGGCCGAAGGCACGCAGGGGCCATGCAGGGCCAAACTGCACACCTACCCTTTTTCCGAACCAAGTTGAAGCTCCCGACAATCCAGGAGAACGTGACGCAGTCGAGTCAGCTGGCACAGGATATTCACAGGCCGACTCCTCGCCTTTGCAATGAGAGGGAGTGTGACGGCTGGGATTTGAGCGGGGTCTAAGAGAGCCACCATTCACCCAAGGCCCTCGTAAGGCAGCGCTTCGCTTCTCCAGGTGGTTCGTGGCGAATGGTCCTCGAATACGTGGATACCAGGCAGGCGATTTGAGCGGTTTCGTCACTTCATCTTTGTCTCTCATCTACCCCTATATCCATGTTGCTGCTTTGGTCATGGTACACTCATGCTCACCTCAATTCTTTTCCGGGCTCTTTCCACAACTTCTGCAGCTAGCCAGAGGCTTTACGAATCGCCTGCTATAATTTACATGTACCAGACACGGTTGCAGAGAGGCTTGCCTGCAAACTTGCTGTAAACTCCAGAGAATTGCGAGGAGTCAACGGACCCGAGCGGCTGGCTCGCAGAAGATACCAAGGAGCTGCTTCAGAAGGCAGAAGTAGTGAAAGGTGTGCATGGTATGCCGCACCCGAAGTTTGCCCGAACGTAAGCCCCAAAGGTGGACTCTCTGGGACTTCGGTGGAAGCAGCTGCAGGCTTGCAAGCCTCTTGCGCTGGACCTGAGCACTGCCGAGCCTGGGCTTTGCCGTGAGGCGGTGGCCTTCAGTGAGCTCTCGCCGAGTCGCGTCGTCGAGGTCGGGCCTCTTGTGAGCCTCCCGAGTCCCAACTTTCCCCCGGCTTCGTCGAAGCCAACTTCTCCGTTGGCTTCGTCGAAGCTTACAGGCCGATCAGGCCGATGTCTTGTTTGCCGACCCTGTTGCTCAGGGCGGAGCCTGACATCTGATCCAGAGATGTAAAGCTTCGTGAATACGCGTGACTTACCCTCTGCTTGCGTCTTTGCGTCTCAGCAGGTTTCCACAGCTGCTTCCACAACCGCAACCGCCTCAACTAGCCCTTTGGAGGCAAAGCAGGTTCTTTGTGGGACGAGTCGGAGATTGTCGGGCTTCGAAGCTGCAACGTCAGTATGAAGCTATTGCTGTATCCGATGAAGAGGTGTCTTGGTGCTGAGACTACCTCTCACCCTCTGCAGGTTGCAAGAGTGCGGCTCTTCAAAGAGGCATGAGACTGTGCACTACCTTCGACTGTGTGAAGCCCAGGGTTCTGCCCCTCCGGCCACGCGATGTCCGTATTCACGGCCGCCAAGGCACGTGCGACCAGCTGCCAGCAGGTTGTCTAGCGATCGATTCAACTTGAAGATTTGAGAGTGGGCAACATGGGTTTAGACGACCTAGGGTTTACGAGCTTGGGTGGCTTGATTTTTTACGGTCTCTTTCGTGCTCTATTTTGGCTTATGTCTTGTCGTAATTCATTATAGTGTCGAGTAGTTCCGAGTAGTTTATACTCCAACTCCAATGCGTGTTACAGTGTTTCTTGTGTTGGCTATCCTATGCCGTCCGTATTTGGTGTATGGGTGGATAGAACTGTTTTTTGGGATTATTGTACTTTTATGGTGAAGTGTGGCTCTTCTAATGATTCGTTTCTGAGTTGACGAACATGAGTTCCTTTTTGGCGCATTTCCATACATTCGAAAGCTGAAGATCCTTTCCCAATCCCAATGCAGCAGGCGGTTTGTATGAGTCTTTCGATGGGTACCGAGATCCTTGTCGGCAGGCCAGGGGGTGTAGGAGCCCCGGGCCTGGAGCCTGTCGGGGCTTGTCGGGGCACTTCGTGCAGGACGGTGCTACCTGCCAGATCTGCGGCGCCCTGCACGCGCCTGGCACTTCGGCTATGAGTAGTGGTGCATAGTCCAATTTGGCTCGAGCGAAGGCCATGCCAGAGCCGAGCGAGATGTGGAAGATATGGAAAGATGCCTAAATCAATAGTAGGCAGACGCGGCCCGTTCGTGTAAATCGAAGAGTTAGGACCGCGTTTGAAGAATGTCAGGCAGCGACATTTGCATCAAACATCGATTGCAGACGCACGCTCTCAGTTCCTGTGCCGCAGTGGCGTGACGTTCTGCTAGATCTGAGGTGCAACAATGTGCAACAGGCATGATATGTGTAGTCGAACGAATCGCTTCGTTTCGGAAGCTGTGTTGCAGTCTGTTACAGTCCAAGGTAGCGTGCTGATGAGATGCTTGGGGCCAAGCTTGGCAGAGCTGAGTCTTGTCCCTTTCCGATGTAGGAATTGCAGGCTTTGAGTGCTGTTGGGTGTCGGAGCCCAGCATGGATGTCGCAGTGGGGCCTCACCTGCTCTCCCCAGGTGATCTGTGCGGGCATGAGGCCTGCATGGGCTGCACCGCAAAGGCGGCAGACCTCCAGGCCTCCGGGATCCGCGCTGTATACAGGGCTTGACAGGGCTGGACACGCTGAGGGAAGAGATCGAGCTTCGGCTTCGCTCGGGCGCAGGTTAGCGCGAGCCCTTTGCCAGCAGCACGTGCCCAACTCAGGGCTCATTCCAGCCTTCAGGATATCCAGGCCGAAGGAAGAGGCAGCGGAAGTGTTCTGGCCTTTCTAGAGTGTTTAGGATGCACTGTGCAGAAGCAACTGCCTTTGCCATCCGACTGGGCTTGTCTAGTGAGTCTTTTCGAAGCTGTTGTAGGATGTGGCTGGCTTGGCCTTGGGTGGGCTGTCGGGTTGCAAGGCGACCGGCCAAAGCAGCCGGAGACCATCCCGGAGGTGGCTTCCAGTGACGAAAGCTGTAGGCGATCGTAGGCGACTTTCGTGGGCCCTGCCAGGACCTGCCCGTGTCGGTGGACTGCGGCACGCCGGTTGGCACGCCCATGGCGGAGCCCTCGGAAGAGGAGACGGGCCAGCCCGGGTGCTCGGTGCAAACTCTGTGAAAGCCACCAATGTGACTGGACAGAGTCATGAGTGATGCCGCAGAGCTGTAGTGGGTTCCGGGTTCTTTCGGCCTTTGCGCATGCCCAGGCCACAGTTCACCAGCTTCCACATCAGAAGATGATTCAAAGCGAAGGCAAAACAGCAACGGCATGCGTATGCATGCCCGGTGTAGTCTCCGGGCATGGTGGTGCCTATCGCATTTCTGTGCAAGCCATGTTGACGTGTAGTGGCCGGTGCAGTGATATAGACTTCACTTTGTGGAACGCTTCCTTCCTCAGATTCCCTCTTCTGATCTGTCGGACCGCGACCTGATTCGGGAGACTTGTGCAGTGATGCTCCTTTGTATCTGCGTTGATCTCTCTTGCAATGTGATGACTGGTGATGACTGTAGCTGTCTTCGGCTCAACCATGACCCTTCTCACCAGAGTCGAGTCCATCGAGGCCATCAGCCCAAGGCCAATGTGTGCGGCGACATGGCTTCCGAGAAGGCACTGGCAACAACAACCTTGTGCAGGGCAGAGCCGGCTCATTTCAGGACGAGTTCTTCCTCACCATCGGCCCCGGTGGGCCGGTCGGGCGCTAAGTGGGCGGGCCCGCGGCTTCCATATCAGCTCTGCATGGCTATTAGGCCCTGCCTTGTTGAAATTTGCGATTTGCCGAGGCCATGCACCGCCTGGTCCATGAGGAGCATGTTCGTTAGATCGACACGTCAGGTTTGTCACATCCGAGGTTCGGTTTGCAGAAGTCCAAGCTTCCTATGGGCTTGGCTTAGACATGATCATTGTCCTGTGTTTGCGCCTGTTCCAGGAGTTGGGACTCCTCAGTGCAGTTGCCGTGGAGCGGTTTGGGCAGGCGGCCAGGCATGTGCATGTCATGATTGGCGCAGGCGGCCAGTCTTCAGCTAGGCAGAGATTGGGGCAGACGCGGCACGGCCCCGATCCAGACGCAGGCGCGCTTCTTCTTCTCGGCACCGCTGGAGCCTGTGCAGCGCTTCTTCAGGCCGATGCAGACAAGGTTGTGCATCCCACTTGCTAGCGCTATGCGCACACAGTACATCCCGCTAGCGCTCTCACAGAGAAATGTGTGTATTTCGATGTTGCTGAAATCCTAAAGACGGATTGCCAGCCTCCGTGCGCCGGAGAAGCTCTACGTTCTCGCTCTGCGTTTCGAGAGTGCCGCGCTGGAGTCCCTTGGCTTCGGTTTAGACCTGCCAGGTTCGGCACCAAATCATGAGAGGTCCCAGGACAGAACCCCATTTTCGAGGCCCGGTGGTCAGGACTTCAGGTCTCCAAGTAGCTCAGGTGGCCTCCGGACAAGGAGGCTGCGGAGTCGGCACTGGCACAGCTCGTTGCAGCTGCGGACTGGGCCAAGGTGGACTGTGTTTCGACAGGAGAGACATGTCCAGTGATATGCTGCCGCAGAGTTCGCTGACACGAGCGACAGAGTCTCCTTACAGCAACACTCCCCGCAGGCTTTGCGGGTTTGGCGTCGCTTCTCGCCGGACCGCGAGGCCATGGCGCATTGGATTTTGCCCAGAACGCTGCTAGCCTTGCCATCTGTACAAGCACGATTTCGGCTCGATGTTTGCTACATGCAATGCCCATGTTGCTTTTCACTTCCGATGTCATGTCGACTGTGCGATGATGGGTTATCTTACAACTGGCTGGATCGTGTGCTTGTGAGTTACAGAGATAGAAACACGCCAGCTTGGTGCATTGCATACTACAGTCTGCTACATGTCTACTACCTAGTATACCGTAAAGCAGATAGGACCATGGTTTGCTACACTCCCTCCGGATCGTAGAAACATGTGTTGCCACGTCACTCGATGACCTTATCTTGTCGCGAACGGGTTAGTGCTGCTGCCACTGCTTGCTCGAATAATTTTGTATATTCTTCTGCTGCTATGTTCCTGCGAAGTATGCCGCGGTGCGTGAGGTGCATATTCTTCATCACATCAGTTCAGCCGTATTGTGTGATGGCCTATCATTCAAGATTTGTTGTTAAATGCCGCGTTGCATCTTGTAATCCTGTGCTTTGTGTTGCTTGGTGTTGCTGCGCTCTGTTGCAATAAGTTCAACTCTTGTGCATGCTGGCATATGTATGTCATTACCATCTGCCGTGGTTTGCTCTCTTCCATCCACTACTTACGTTTGTTGGCATGTGCTTAGTTTTGACAATCTTATGCTGTCACTAAGCCGATGTAGTACTGTATCATACCTGCCCAGCGCCATACTGTGCTACTCAGTCTCTTATCTTCGCTGATACCATGTTGCTGCTTTGAGACGGACCTTGCTTGCATTTCGTTACAGTCAGCCGTATGGTTTTTGGTTTCTGCATTGCACTAGTTTCTGTGCTGTGCCTGGCTGTGCCTGTCACATTGTGTTAGTCGACACGGTGCAGGTTGGCTGGTTAGTTACCACTCTCCGTATTTCGTCCTGCTGCGGAACAGCCGAATGCCAGTTCACAAGACAGGCACTCCCCCGCAGCTTCCGTGTGACGGGCAAGCGTGCTGGGCAACGAGGGTCTCAGCTTAGTCTGGAGCCCAGAGCCAAGGTCCAAAGCGGTGCCAAAATCGTGTCAGAGCAGTGCGGTTTGTCGCAAGCATACCGCACGGAAGAGTCGCCAAACAACAAGGTTCAAACGGCATAGCTGAGTTCGTCGGCGAGGCAGCTGTGGGCCATGGTGGGCCTAATTTTGAAAGTGTTGGCCTTTCTGTGTTGCTTCAGTTTTTTCGTCATATGTAGCCTCCATCCTCTGCCAAGCGATAAACGCACAGCAGTCGCGAGCCGGCACATGCAGGTCCAGCGATGTTTGGCCTCTCAAGCTTCCCTGGTCCATCCGCTATAACAGATGCATGCATGGCGATTTTTTCGAAGGCACGCGTGTCTTCATCGTTCCACCTGTTGCTGCAGGAACATGCAGCCTTTTCTGGGGCGAGCATCTCCATGTCACCATCGACTCAGTTTTTGATTGTTTTCCGCTTGGGGCAAGAGTTGCAGGGGCTTGTCATCCGACAGCGCGAGCAAGCTGAACCCCATGTTTTCTGCGGTCGGCGGCTGGTTGTGTTGAGAATTGCTTGGCTCTCGAGCATTTCTGCTCAGCTCAAAGGTTTTGCATCGTCGGCCTCCAACAAACAGACAGCGCACTGCTGTGCTTAAAGGAAGGGGCGGTGAGGGGTGAGCCAGCTGGGGATCGCTTGGTAAACCTTTGATTGCCTCGAGGCCAATATGTCTAGTACTAAAGTTGCTGCTATGAGTGTCAAGCCTTGAGGACTGTCAAACTAAGAGTTAGGACGACTTAAAGAAATGTAGCACTGTGAGACGTCCCTGAACTGGCAGGCACTGAGCGAGACCATGGGCTGGCAGGTGGACCTGCATGACTACGATTTGGAGGCCGTGCGGAAGGTTTGCACTCTTGCAGCGCCGAATTCGCCTGGTCACAGCACTTCTGGCGTGCGTGATGATATTCCAGCTTGGACTGGCCTGCTACGGTCTCTGCGAACTTGGTCTACATGAACGGAAGATGGGCAGGTTGTGGTGCACTTGAATGATGAGCATCTGATCGTGGCTCGGCCGCAAGCATTTACCTCGCGCTTTGAAAAGGCATGCAAATTCACGATTGTTTGGGAATGACACCTTCCGACATGCAGCATGTCATGTCATAGAATGTCCTTGGTTGCTGTCAATACATGTTCGGTGCAGTCTTCACTGCAAGTAGATGCGCGAGGTTTGCTTGCCACTTCTGGAACGCGGGGAGGCTCAACAGGTTGCGTCCTCGTCACGACGACAGGAGAAATGGGGTAAGGGCAGGCAGAGAGAGGTGAAGGAGATAAACAGGACCATGAATAGTGCCCAGTGCCGGACATAGTCAGTGCTGCAGACGTGTGGCCTCAACTCCGGGACACCAAAAGGCCACCAATGCACGACCCGTGCTACTGCTATGAGTAGAAGCACAGGGCCACGTCGGCGAAGTCACAGAGCTTCTAAAGGACAAAAGTTGGGATCGACGATATGTTTTGTGAGGCACAATTTGCGCTGCCGGGTCTTTCTCAGCCGGTCGCCTGGGCCATGGCGAGGACACCATGACATCATACATGGGTACAAGTGCAGCCATTAGAATACTCGCCGCAAAGCGAGCAGCTCAGAAGAACTCAGAAGTCGAAAATACGGCAACTCTGCAGTGCTCAGTTCCAGCATGTTGGTAGGAGTTGGCAGCACTGCTCCAGCTCATGTGGCCCGTGCTCGTGCGTGATGATGCTTGTGACTCTGAAGATGCATGATATTGCGCAACAGCTTCGTGGTAGCTTGTGGGGTTCGGGTTTTAGGTTGTGTTCTTGTGATGGCTTGTGTCTTTCCAGCTGCAATTAAGAAATACTCAATCCACACTCTCCAGGAGCGTCGAGCCCTCGGCAGGAGATGTCGTTGTCGACCCGAGCCGCGGCAGCAGAGTTTTCAGCTTGAGGGCGTCGCTCTCCAAGGCAGAATTTCAGGTCGGGTCATGGAAAGCTGTCTTAAGCCCACTGCAAGCAAGGATGTGCGGGTCAGGCATCGTGCTCTTCGAGGCGCGCGTGTCGACCAGCCTTGGCAACCACAAGCAGCCATCGGGCAATTCGATGGGTTTGCACGTGTCCGATCCCCAAATCCTTTCCTGCATCGCAGCATCCACGAAAACCCCTGGCTTCGTCGGACCCAGAAGGCGGCGCAGTGCTGGCGGGGTGCGTGCTACCTCGGCTTTGACATGGATGCCTCACAGCTGGACACGCTTCCATTCCTGGGAATCTGAAGGCTTCGGGGGGTTTTCGGCATCATGCTGTGATCAGAACAGTCGAAATCTTACAGGCTATGGGGCTGGAGTCTTTCCAAACTGGAAGCTGAAGAGCTGCGAAATGCCTTCCGACTGCCTCAGCCATCTTGCTCAAGCTGGTCCCCCCGCACGACTGCCATGCTGCATCCTCGGCGAGCTGAGCCTTGACTCGTGAAGCCACTGCCACTGCTCACATGCCTGCAGTCAGGCTGTTTACTCTTCTGCTGAGAGGTCGTCAACATGGCGACAGCGCTTCTACATGGAGCCAGAGGAAAATCGAGTAAAGAAGGCGCAGCTGCATGTCTAGAAGCTGAGGAGCCGTGACTGCTGGAACAAGATTTCAGACTAGTGTTGGAACTGCCAGTTCCCGAAGAAGAAAAACGTTCACGTCCTGGCCTCAGAAGTTTGCTGCTGAGCCAGCCACAGCCTCACTCGTCACTCCTAAGCCTTACAAGTGTGTACAGTCGCATCTTGGGCTGCTTGACTTGCCCAGATCCTGGCCGTTTGCTTGGACTACAAGGGAACCGAGCCCTGGCTGCTGTGGTGCTTGAAAGGCTCTGTGCCCATTGAACATATTGCATTATGGACTCAGGAATCTCCTCTCAGCTGCATTGTGGATGGCGATCGCATCTGCGAACTAGCTGCGCAATCGGGCGTTGAGGACATCGTCAAGATGCCGCTTGCCTCCTTCGAGAAACATCATGGAATGGAATAACACACCCGTGACCTGCACCATGAAGTGTTTCATCGGCCTTGGGCATGGCTACGGGACTGCAGGTATGACGACGGCTCCACAGAGAGCTTCCCCTCTGTCGAAGAGTTGAAGGCCCAGGCACCTCGAAGGGTCTTGGAAATTTTGTAAGAGACGGGAGTCTCACTTTAGAGCCGATGAGGTGGCCACGATCTCCGAGCGGTGCAAGCCCGGGCATTACTTTGTCCTGGCACCGTGGCTGCAGTGAACTTTGTTTGTGCGAATGTCTAACATGATGTTGTGTCTTGCGCATCACGCTCCGTCTTGATGTGCCATCTGGGTCTCGGTCAGCAGTCTTCTTCTCATTTTCCACGTCGTCGTCGTCGTCGTCGTCGTCGTCGTAGGAGTAGTAGTATGGTTCACCCACCCGGTGCGATGCCAAGACCTATCAATTTTGTTTAGACTTAGTGTTGTCAGAAATGCAGTGTTTTTTCATAGTTTTTATCGTTTCTTGAAACTTTGGAAAGCGCATGGATTGTTTGCTTGTTTGTTGTTGCTTGTTGAATATCGCCCTTCATGCTGGCAGCCAAAAATGGTGGGATTTACATCACTCGTCTTTCAGATTTTATTGGTTTTGGCTTCTTTTGCGGTATGGATTTTCATGCCCAACAACTAGCGATCAGAAAGAACTTTTTTTGTTCAATTTTTGGTGGTCTTGGTGTTCATCAAAGCATTTGGGAACAGAGCATCCATGCCCAAAACC